AAGTTCGGCGGGGTTTGAGGCGCTCCGTGGAGCGGGCGCTGCTAGAGATCTACGAGAGGGAGATGACCAGCTCGAGCCAGATCTGCGGAGCGGAATATGCCGCTCCAAATGAAACGCTTTTGGAGCGCTCGAGATCTGCGAGCGGAATTCACCATGATTCAAGTTTCAAGTGCTTCGCATTTGCGTTTTGGCTGGTACTATGCAGTTAGACTCCATGCGTTGCACTGTAGCAAATACTTTTAAACGGAACAGTTTTGTCGCTTTATTTTTTCAGGCACTGTTGTATTGTAACCAAGTTTGTCTATATTTTTTAGGGGGGGGGGGGGGGGGGGTTGGAGTCTGGAGGCTGGAATGTTTTAAAGCTTGGGGAGTGGGAAGTTCTGACCCATAAGGCCCCCCCCCCTTCCCCAGCTACACCACTGCCTTCAGGATATGTGCAGCTCCCCATCAAAGTATTTCGCTTCATCAATTTAACATATGTACTTACCTTTTCAGCCACATTGAAAAAGGATCCACGATGGAAGCAAGTCTGAGCGACCACATCCTTAGCTTCTCCGTCGACCTATACAAGCGGCTGAAACCCTCCGGCAAAGACACGCCAGGAAACGTCTTCTGCTCACCATTCAGTATTGCAGCTGCTCTGTCCATGGCCCTCGCAGGAGCTAGAGGCAACACTGCCAAGCAAATCGCTGCCATCCTGCACTCAGACGACGACAAGATCCACAACCACTTCTCGAGCTTCCTTTGCAAGCTACCCAGTTACGCCCCAGATGTGGCCCTGCACATCGCCAATCGCATGTACTCTGAGCAGACCTTCAATCCGAAAGCGGAGTACACAACCTTGTTGCAGAAGTCCTACGACAGCACCATCAAGGCTGTTGACTTTGCAGGAAACGCCGACGGAGTCCGACAGGAGGTCAATGCCTGGGTCGAGGAAGTCACCAGGTCAAAGATCAGGGACCTGCTCGCACCTGGAACTGTTGATGCATCGACATCACTTATATTGGTGAATGCCATTTACTTCAAAGGTCTGTGGAGTCTCAATTCAAGCCTAGTGCTACGAAGCCGGGAGATTTCCATACTTGACGTCACAGACCTCAAAGACAGTGGACATGATGCATCAGAAAGGGGACTTCAAGATGGGTCACTGCAGCGACCTCAAGGTCACTGCGCTCGAGATACCCTACAAAGGCAACAAGACGTCGATGGTCATTCTCCTGCCCGAAGATATGGAGGGACTCTCAGTCCTAGAGAACACTTGACCGCTCCGAAATTGTCGGCTCTGCTCGGCGGCATGTATGTGACGTCCGATGTCAACTTGCGCTTGCCGAAGTTCAAACTGGAGCAGTCCATAGGTTTGAAGGACGTACTGATGGCAATGGGAGTCAAGGATTTCTTCACGTCCCTTGCGGATCTCTCTGGCATCAGCTCTACGGGGGAATCTGTGCGCTTCGGATGTCATCCACAAGGCTTTTGTGGAAGTTAATGAGGAGGGCACGGAGGCTGCAGCTGCCACTGCCATACCCATGATGTTAATGTGTGCGAGATTTCCACAGGTGGTTAACTTTTTCGTTGACCACCATTCATGTTCTTGATCCACAGCCATGATCAGATGTTGTTCTCTTCATGGGATCCATCCGTGAACTCTGAAAAGAGCATTGCTCTTAATGGTGGCCAACCAGTCTGTGAGGTTATCTCTTAGTCATACTGTGTAACAATTCTGCAATATTCAGCTTGTGTATTTCGGTAACTTGCTAGATCTTTGTGTTGTTGATGTTAGGCTTCTTGTAAGATGTGCATTAAAATAGGGATGAGGACCAAAGCAAATAAACGGAGTTAAAGCCATGAATAGTCACCAACAAGCGTTGTGAGCTGGTGAGGAAGGCACAGCACAATATGAAGATGAACGAACATAAAACTACCTAGCAACATTCAGTTTTTATGCATTGTTTATTATTCTATAGCTTCCTTGTTGCATATTTAGCCTGTCATGCAGAAAGCCCTCACTTTTGCTGAGCTGTTTCCATAGAATTATCTGATCAAATTACTAAATGAGTGTAAACTATCTGATGAGCTAGTTAAATTAATGTCAACAACCTGATGTCTTGTGCCTATAGGGCAAATTTGCATGAATATCTGTTATGTAAAGTTCTCCGAAATTGTACAACACAGGGCGACCATTTGAAGAAATATTTGGATAAGTTTGTAAACATTTCTATAAATCCTTGGTTGTGGCAGCACGGGGCAAGTTTGCCTACAAAAAAAGCTACAAAAGCATAAATTGTACACCCTGCTTCGGCCACCTAAACTTTAATATACAGGCACTTTATTCGTTATGAGACGGCATGCTTTAACAATAATGCTATTTGGATACTCGTTGAGTACTTGTTGGGCATGCAGTAGAGCATGCAATCAAAGTAGTGCACATTGTTAATGACCCAATAGTAATAACAGAATGCAGTGCTGTGACGTGCTGCTACAAGGACCAATTTTAAATATGATCCACCAGGTTGCTCAATCTTAGGATCTCTGCTCAATGAGACCGCATTTTGCGGAATTTTTATGCGAATATATAGTCATGATGCCAAAGGTGCTTTTTTAAACTGCTATCTAGCAATATGTACCCGTGCCTTTTTTTCTTTCTTTCTTTCTTGTATTTCCGTTTATTATTTTGATGTTATTCCTATTTGCCGCAATGATATAGCACAAATGCACGAGCACAGATATTTTGAGTTGGAACGCAAATTTAGGGGCTGCTGTGTGTAGAACTAGAGACTGTTATGTTTTTTTTTTATATCTTAACGCAGGGTTCTGCTTTGACAACTGATCTATAAAAAGCCATGTCATGCAAAAAAGGTGAATAAATGCGCACTTAATGCACAGGGATGTAGCAATGTCTGTGTAATTGTATAGCCCGCAGTGGCGTCACCCAAAGTGCAGCGCTCGGGGGGGGGGGGGGGGGGGGGGGGGTTGCATCTGGGCAGTGAAAAAGTGTGTGTGTGTGGGGGGGGGGGGGGGGGGCGTTGGCCCGCCGCTCCGGGTGCCACTGACCCTAGTGACGCCACTGAATGATGACCCGTAGAGGTAATGTTTGAGATTTGTTTGGCTTGCTACTGTGATACATATATTTCTTGGTGTACAAATGTTTGCAACAAATGCGAATATGGGACATTCTCATTCCTGTATGCATTATTTTCAAATAAATAAACTGTCTTTGTTGGTTTTATTTTGCATCTGGAGAGAAGGATCTCTGATTAATCAGCGTGCAATCTTGGAAAAAAAAAGTGATATCTGATTAACGTTTGAATGGTCTTAGCAACGTAGAGATTAATGAGCCCTAACTTTCACTCACTCATTACTTTATAAACTTAATTGTCAATGATGGCACGCCTTCCTTATCAACGCGCGTTCCCTATTCTATGACTATGGTCCATCCTCCTCTTAGTTGACAGCGCGGTGGAGCTCCGCGCTGAATAAACGGTTAAAAAGGCGCGAACAACGGAGACAATGAAGAAACACGGACGGCAGGACAGGCGCTTCAATCAACTAGTTTTTTATTATCACCATCGATCGTCACCTATATATATACTAGGGATTAGGGGTGTCACGAACTTTTGTAAAACCAGATTTTTAGGTCGAACTTTCGGGGTTCGAGCCGGTTCGACGAACCTACGAACTTTTAACCAGATTCGACCGGTTCAAGGAGGTTAGAAGTACTAGGAGGGGGCACGTTGCAATATTGGTGAAGCCTAGTCATAAAAAGTTTATACGATGTTGTGCCCAGCGTGACTGCAGATCTCTCTGGCGATTGGTGCGCGTGACATGTTACGTGTGAGATGGATGGTTGATTGTAGAAGGACTCATTGCAGGCTTGCGCGCACTCCGTCCGGTAGGTTTTATCAGGTCGAAGTCTAGACTGTGGTGTATTCTAGTACCCCACAGCAAGAGGAAGTCTAGCTATGTTCACGTGATGTGCTCACGTTGGCATGGTAAGTGAGGAGAGTAAGGAGGAAAATGAGAAAGAGGCGAGGCGTCAAGGAGAGCATGGCTTGTGGAGGCTACACGGCCGACTTCATGCCCTCTCCTACCCTTCTATTATGGTGTACTAGAAGACTGGGCAGTGTAGCGAGCGGCCGGCGGAGGGGGGGCTCTTTCAGCGATGACCGGATCGGTGGCCGCGAGAGGGCGCAACGTGTAGTAGGCGTGCTGCCGGAGTGCGGAGCGCAGGCAGCGGTAGCGCTTGGCTGGCTTGGCGTTCCGCACGGGTTCGATTGTTTCGTATTGTTTGGCTAACTCTTTACGGTATTTTTTTATTTCTGCTGTTTCACATATTATTTATCGCACTAATTCGTTGCCAAATGCTTTGCCGAGACGTGCATCTTCGGGCAGGACGCCACAGTACGCATTGCGACACTGCTAGCGCGAACAAGACATTGGCACTTTCTCGGATTCACTTCGAAAGAGTATTAGTGAGGACGAACTTTTATCACCTGCATTATAGACCCGAATGAGCTTTTTCCCCAGCAATTAGAACTTTGCTGAAAGTCTATGGTTTCTCATAGAAAAACCGGCGATCGCTTGTTCGCGCTGACAATGTTGCGTTCTGAATAGCTGCGGGAAATCCATCCCCCAGGGAAACGTTGGGGAAGTTT